CACTCGGTCAGTCATCCAGCAGGCCATCGCCGGGGCCGCTCGGAAGGGACTGATCCGGCGGGGCCGACGCCCTTCGACTCCTTGTTCCCCCAGCTGGTCCCCGGAGTACCTAGCTCACGAGCCTACCCGAGTGGACTAACCCCACAACATACCCCGTCACATGGCGGACAGCAGGCTCTACTCCTACCGGACCCAAACTGGTCTGCCGGCTTCCCACTAGACAGATCCAGTCCATACCCATCCCCATTCCCAGGCCCCTCCCAGACCGCGCCTTCTCCGGCTACCTCCGAGGCCTGTTTCTCACAATACTCGTCTCGTCCTCGCTCTTACTCTCATTCATCATTCGAATCTGAAGATACCGCTGGCTCGATCCCTAACCAATCCTTCCTTCCACTCGAGTATCGTTCTAAAACTACCGCGGCCACTAAGGCGGCTGCTATCAGGCGTAGGAAGGTCGGCGTCGCGGCTAGATATATCTGTGAGATGTGCGGCGAATCTTTCACCAGACGTTACAACCTCAGAGGTCGGTCTACTTTACCCCTTTTCATTCATTTCCATTGTGTATCATCAATTTATTTGGATCTTGTTTCCCCCCTACAGGTCATCAACGGGCTCATAAAGGAGAGAAACCATTCGCATGTGGATATCCAGGATGTCAGTGCCATTTGTTTCACACAAACAAATAAAGAAGTAATATGCTGTGCACAAATAGATACTGATTTATGTTTTTTTTTTGCAGGCACCTCTCGATTCGCTCGAGCGCATGATCAAAAAAGACATTACAAGTTACATCTGGGCGTCAAGGATTACAGCTGTCCTGTGTGTCGAAAGACGTTCATTCGACTTGACGTATGTCTCTTTTTCTTCATTTTACGCATGGAAGACTCCCAGCTTAATTTTGTGGGTTTGTGTGTGTGATAAACAGGCGTTGCAAAGACATCATAAATCAGACGCAGGCCAAGCATGTTTCCAAGAACTACAACAAATGTCCTCGACGTCCGGCTCGGCAGTTGGAGGAGTCGGCGGGACCGATGGCGGTTCGAATATCGCACTTGGTGCGGGAACGTCGTCGTCATCTTCAACGGCGACGGCGACGACGAGCGCAGGAGTCGAGGAGGAGTTCGAGACCTCTGCAAGCTCCTTCGACTCCCTCATCCCCTCGTCTACTTGTCTCGAACAGGACGATCCGCCTGCTAGTGCTTCCTACAATGACCCCTTCGCCTTCCATCAGGTCCATCATCCGCATCATCAGCAACAGCAACACCTTCTTCCTCAACAACAACAGCAGCAACATCAACATCAACATGCTCTTGATCATCAGCTTGATCATCAACTCGACCATTCCCTTGATCATCAACAACAACAATTCCAACTCAATTAGCAAATCAATGATCATCACCACCAACAGCAAAAGTAAGACAAAAAAAAAAGAGATCAGTCAAACTAGGTTGTCACTTCGATGCCCATGACTGAGTTGTCCTTGTACCATCTCTCTACTGCTCTATTCTTCTTTTTCTTCTTGTTCTATTCGACTCAAAAGGACCGGATCGGACTCGTTTTATATTGAACTGCTCTGTCCTTTTATGCCCTGTTAGTGGGCTTGCTCGATTTATACCTTATATGACACCTCATTTTATATATGCTCTGCTTCCGCTTTAGCTTTATCTGCCCCTCGTTGGCTTGTGTGTATATGTATACCTTTTCATTATATACCGTCGTCTGTGAATAAATGCGTGTGTGTATGATGATGGTGGTGTGCTCGATCTGATTCCATCTTTCTCGTTTTTCTTTTTTTTTGCTTCTTCTTAGCTCCTGGGTTGCTTCTTTCCTCCACCATTTTTCTTTTGTCTCTTGCTTTGCTTTGCTTTTTTTTTTTTTTTTTATCTATGTCTGTTCACACACAAACAAAAACAAAATGAAAAAAAAGAGTTTTGGTTTGGTTTTCTTTTCATCTTTTCATTTTCCCACTTTTTTTAAAAAAAAAATAAAATAAAGATTATCATGATAGTAAACAAAAACAAAAACAAGATTCAAAAAAAAAAA